AATATAGACCGATCTGTTTGTTGAATGTTTCTTTTAAGATCTTTACCAAAGTTGCGACTAATAGACTGTCTATTGTTGCCCAGAAGATCATTAGACCAACACAAACTGCTTTCCTCCTAGGAAGAAACATCATGGAGGGCGCAGTAATTCTCCATGAAACGATTCATGAACTCCACTCGAAAAAGCAAGATGGAATAATCTTTAAAATATATTTTGAAAAGGCTTATGATAAAGTAAAATGGAACTTTTTACAACAAACCTTAGCGATGAAAGGATTCTCTCTAAGTGGTGTTCTTGGGTACAAAGATTTACAGGGAGGAAATGTAAACATTAAAGTGAATGACCAACTTGGTTCCTATTTCCAGACAAAAAAAGGCCTAAGGCAAGGTGACCCAATGTCTCCAATACTATTTAATATAGTGGCAGACATGTTGGCTATACTAATTGCTAGGGCCAAGGAAGCAGTCCAGATAAAAGGGGTCATTCCTCATCTTGTCCAAGATGGTTTGTCTATTCTACAATATGCGGATGACACAGTGATCTTTATGAGCCATGATGTTGAGAAGGCGGTAAACATGAAATTGATACTAAGCACGTTTGAGCAACTTTCAGGGCTCAAAATTAATTTTCATAAAAGCGAAATATTTTGTTTTGGTAAAGCAAAAGAGCATGAGGTTTTCTATTCGCAGTTGTTTGGGTGTGGGGTGGGTAAGTTTCCCTTTCAGTACCTTGGTTTACCTATGCACACTAGGAAACTGAGTAATAAAGATTGGCAGTCAATAGAGAACAGAATTGAAAACAAGCTTAGTGGATGGAAAGGTAAGATGCTTTCTTTAGGAGACATCAACATTGCACTTCTTTAATTCCAATGGATGGTTATCGACTAGGTTTATTGGTCTTCATTAGTCAGAACTTTACTTCCCGCTTTGTTTTCCTAGTGTCTACTTGTAAGCTTGTGATCCCTGTGGGTTGTGTGCTGGTCGCTGTACTGAACTTTGTAATAATTGGCCTGATTCTACCCTGAGGTAGATGAAGCCGGATATAAACTATCATTTATCTAAAAAAAATGTCAGGTGCACATGAAGCATCTGTGTATATTCTTATCCCAGGCAAGGAGTGATGGGAAATCGACCCTGAAATAAGGTGGTGCCGGGTTTGCAGACAACGGCTGAACCCCTCTGCTTTCCTCAGCTGATGTGTGGTCCTTGGAGACTAATTAGGCGAGCTTTAGCAACAGGTGAAAAGAGCAGGCAAGCACTCCAACAAAATCAGTAAGAATTGCACAAACTGTGGCTTACTTGAAAATAACAGTCACTTATTTTTTCACTGTACCTTTGCCCGTGCTGTTTGGTTCTCTGCGAATCCATCTATTTGCACTTCTATTTTACCCCAAGATGAGAATGGTGTACAGGAAATTTTACCCATACTTATCCACAGCCACACCACTAATCAACAGATGCTACTATTACTTACCGCTCTCTGGTACATTTGGAAAGTTAGGAATGATCACAGGTTCAAGAACAAAAATATGGACTATCTTTCAGGTCCATAATGCAGTAAAGGTGGATATTGCAGCAAGCTCTTTATGCTTACAACAAGATGATGAACAGGTTGCCTTCGCTATTGACGCACAGGCTGCTGGACATGACAACTGACCAAGGAATCAAGGTACTAATCTTTTGATTGCAGATACATACTTAAGTAGTTAAGTTACAACACATTATTCAACAACTTATTCCAACACTAAAGTAAAGGTGATATCTAAGCACTAACATGAACATAAAGACGAACATGAATAAAAAGCAGAAGGTGTGGAGCTCTATCTTTCACGAGTCCTTTCATATGAGGCTAAAGATAAGAGCTTGATCATAACCGAGAGTGTGTCATTCCGGAATAATTAATATCCTTATATGGGTGTATACCTTTTCCTACACGAGAATGAGGCCACCGCCCATAAGGTCCATTGATAATTAAGGGGTTACTCATTGCTCAACTTTTTCCATATTTGGTCAGGTTATCCAATCAATGGCAGAGATGTGTAAGTAGGAGTACTAACTTTACTAAGATAAGCCACAGGTACACTCATCAAAGTTAAAACGTGCCCTAAATAGGGAGTGGGTCGGGCTGACTAGACAGCTCATGGGTGTCTCGCGAAACTTGGCAAGCAAGTAATGCAGAGATATAGATATATAGAAACCGATACGTGTATGTAATCTTATATGGTTAGAATTTTTTGTAAATGAGTATGAAACTAATCTACACCTGGTCGGGGGAATCAAACTATAATCCTGCCTCTTAGGCCCCGTTCGCGTGCCCTTAAACTCAGCTTGATCCGCTTCTTTTTTCATCCGGAATAGTATTTTTCTCTCACAAATTCATCCAGCATTTCTCCAAACCATCCAAATTTCTCCAGAATTCCTCCCAACGAACAGGCCCTTAGACTATATAGTAAGGGCCAGGGGTCTCAATCGAGAAACATCTTTTCCAACTCACACCAACGCCCCAGCAAATCCTTGCACATAACTAAAACAATAACCGAACTGAGTACCTCACCTTTGAGGTGGTCGACTTCTCGAGCATCTACCACACATTTTTTTTGTGCCCAGCTATGAAAAGTTCATGTCGATCCTACATCTACCTCAAACTCAAGATTCATGAGCTAAATGGCACGATAACGGTTGGCACCAACTTCCAACATGCATGCGATTCACGATCGCGAAAATGGTGACATGGCCGACACCCAGATTGTCTCAAAAGAGTTGGTGCTCATTAAGCAAGAAGTGGTTGAAGGAGAACCCAAAATGAAGAAGTCTGTGAGTTCAACCACATTTAAGCCCATTAAAACACAGAAACTGGGTTAGACTAGTTTTATCCTGACTGTGCTTTTCTCAAAGAAGCACTCCTAGAAAAAATTGTACCAAACAGAGTTATATATCTATATACCTAATATTAAAGAAAAAATTTCTCTCCTCCAATTATTTATATGTTACTCTCTCTTGACCCATTTTTTGTCATCCACTCCTGGAGCATAAGAGTTCTAACCGAACTTACTAAGAATAGTAATACGTGATTGATTAGACATAATAAGACTACTAGAGGTAAGACTAAGAGTTCTAATTGGTTTAATGTCCCATTTGGGATCCGTGCTCATACGAGTTAGAATTGCATGTATCTGGTCATTGTATATTGACAAAATCCGATTTCTAGACGTATTGGAACAGACCAATTTCAAGACATCGAAACATATGACGCAAGTTGTACACTCTGTTGAAATGCATAGGCATGTCCGCTACTAGTCCATTCTTAAAAAAATTAAAAAGGAGAAAAATTCTTCCTCCATCTCTCGGTCTATCACTCTCTCCTCCATCCGTCCGTGCCTATGCTCCGATGAATTAAAGATAAAAACCGTCATATCCGTGACCCATACTATACAATAGTGTGCGTCTAGCCATGGTATAAAATTTGATTCTAAAGCATATTGAAATAGATTAAGGCAAGCCGTACCTACAAATTACTATGTGCATGTTTATATACTATACTCTCTCGTTCCAAATTACAAGTCGCTTTAACTTTTTTGTATATCCATTTTGTCATGTATCTAGATATAATAAAAAAACTGGACCTGCGAGGGTATGACCACCCCCAGGCATTGCATTAAGAAGAAGACCTTCTCACGCAGGCCCAGAAAACCCCCGAACCTCTGCCCCACCCTTATACAGTGGCACCGTCGCCCTGTGAGAACGGGCCGGTCCTTAGACCTGTGCTTTGGCATAGGACAGACGAGGGGATTTTTTTAACCCGACTTGAGGAGTGCCGCCAGGACGCTCTAACCAGTTGGACTAGAGGCCCTTTGGCTCATCTAGACATAATAATATGTCTAAATGGATGAACCAAAAAATCAAAATGACTTATAATTTGGAACGGAGGGAGTAGCTTTGATAAGAAAACAATGAGTACATATGACTCTAAAGATTAGTTTGGCAAAGCTAGTGTGGAGTAATTTCTCTAGCAAAGATGAAACCCTTTTTTTTTAAAAAAAATGGTTGACAAAAAAAAAGAACTCTAATAATAATTTTGTAATAATTTATATCAAGTTTATGAAACCTCAAAAGAAGTCATGTGTTTTAGGCTCCGACTTCTCGATATAAAATGGGTATCAGCTTGTTCGGCTGGCATTAAATTTACACTGTAGCAGCTGGAAAACACTGCAGTAGCTAAAATTTGGTGAGAGAAAAACACTACTCCGGCTGAAAAAAAAAGAAAGCCAGCCAGTTAAAACTGGCCAGCCGAACATGCGGTATGGTTTCTCCGAACTGCTTATAAAGAGCTTCAAAAGAAGTTTTATGCTACTTCTCAATATAAAAATGGTTATGGCTCTTCTGGAACGCTTGTAACTTCTCAATATAAAAATGGTTATGGCTCTTCTGGAACGCTTGTAATATGGGCGTCCATTCCTTATGGACTAACTGGAAAAATACAAGCAATGCATGAGGTGCAGAAGGTTTTGATCCTTTTGTTCCGGGAGGAATAGCGAGCAAGAGGCTTAAAAAAACATGTGTTTTTGGAACTATACAAAGCCAGTAAATAAACAAATAAAAAGTCAATGGGTATTTGAATTTGAACCCGAGTAAGAGCCGTTTGACAGTCCTCTACGCAAGAGCGGCGGTAGCCGAAGTCATGCTAAAGGCCTTGAAGAAATATACTGCACGTCCATATTCACACGTGCGAAACCGCCATATATCTCCATCCAATCCAAAGTACCAATGTCCCGTACTACTACCCCGTTCGCACCCGACGGCCCTCCTTTGCTACCCCCGGTTGGAACGCCGCCGCCTATATAAACCTCCCCCACCTCCAACTCCCTCTCTCCCCTCCCGTTCCCCAATTCGAAATCGAATCGGGTCGGTCTTGCCGTGCGTGCGTGCGTGGCTGCGCGAACGACTCTCGACTGCACACCCCGCTCCGCGCCGCCGCCGGGTCCCCCCTAGGGTTTCGCCGCGATGTCGCTCCGGCCGAGCGAGCGGGAGCTGATGCGGAAGGGCAACTACAAGCAGACGGTGGACGCGGAGGAGAGCCGCCGCCGCCGCGAGGGCCAGATGGTGGACATCCGCAAGGCCAAGCGCGAGGAGAGCCTCCAGAAGAAGCGCCGCGACGGCTTCCCCGCCTCCGCCGCCGGCGCCGTCCCGCCCATGGGCCACTCCACCGCGCTCCAGCAGAAGGTGCTGCGCTGCCTTGCCCTGGCTCGCTCCCGATCTGATCCGTCCCCCTTCATTAGGGTTTGGGAGACGGGGGTGTTTCTCGATCTGACGGGTTCGGATCTGATTCTTCTCTTGTTTTCTGCTTGTGCAGCTCGATGGCTTGCCGGCGATGGTGCAGGCCGTCCTCTCCAACGACCCCGCCGTGCAGCTTGAGGCCACCACGCAGTTCAGGAAGCTGCTCTCCATAGGTGAGATTCGGATCTTATGTGCAGTTACCGTTACGATGGATAGAGTTTAGGGGTGAGATTTGGGCGGTTTGTCGAGTAGTATTAGGCCATGCGTGAGGGTATCTGGGTATGGCCAGTTCTAGGTGCTAAGGTAACTGTCGTATACGCCTATACGGGGGTCTTGACATGTGGATTGCGGGGTCGCAAAATTAGTCGTGGCACCATCCCATTTTGCGACAACTACTATGTAAATTAACTGTCTTCAGAAAAAAGCAAACACTACCCTCTGGCCTGTGCAACGTGCTTATGTCCATGTGCCAGAAGTTTTCAAAAAAAAAATGTTATGCTCCTGAAAGCAATTGATTTCATGAATAATTATTTCTATTTTTCAGTAGTGTTCTGCTTCCTGCTGGGGCAATTATTGTTTCATCAATTATATGCTTGTTTCAGTAATTTTTGAGCCTGGTGAGAATGGGCTAAAAAAGGTTATGGAGTCTTCCTGTCTCTTTTCATATTCTTGTACATCCTAGATAACTGCTTTTATTATCATGTGGGATTTTTGTATTTGCTGGTGAATCTAGATGAGCCCATGATACTCCGTTTCTTAACTCCATTGCAACTTTTATATGAAAGTTGTCAAGTGGTACCTTGCTGATTGACTTTTCTTTCAATTTCTCTAGAGCGTAGTCCACCAATTGAGGAGGTGATCAGCACAGGAGTGGTGCCCCGATTTATTGAGTTCCTTACACGTGAGGACCACCCCCAACTTCAGGTCTGGGAAACAGTCGCACTGATCAATCATATGGCTTCACTTTATTTTCTCTCTTATTAATCGGTGGCCACTTGCTATGTATAACTCATGCTGCAGTTTGAGGCTGCATGGGCGCTCACCAACATTGCCTCAGGCACATCAGAGAACACCAAGGTGGTGGTTGAGAGTGGTGCTGTGCCCATCTTTGTCAAGCTCCTCAACTCCCACAGCGAGGATGTTCGTGAACAGGCATGCACTGAATTACAAGAGTTACTCTCTTCTATACGAGACTTATGTAGAGTGATGCTTAGGTTCTTTCTTTTTTTTATGTTTTGCAGGCTGTGTGGGCTTTAGGTAATGTTGCTGGTGACTCCCCAAAGTGCCGTGATCTGGTGCTTGGCCATGGTGGGCTATTCCCCTTGCTGCAGCAGCTTAATGAGCATGCTAAGCTCTCGATGCTCAGGAATGCTACATGGACTCTCTCCAACTTCTGCCGTGGGAAGCCACAACCAAACTTTGATCAGGTTTCTATCTGAGATTGTTTCTTTTTGTTGTGTTGGCCAAAGTTGATTCTTTGAATGATATTGTTTTGTTGATGCTTGAGTAGGTCAAACCAGCATTGCCAGCACTGCAGCGCCTTATCCACTCTCAGGATGAGGAGGTCCTAACTGATGCCTGCTGGGCTCTCTCGTACCTATCTGATGGGACTAATGACAAAATCCAAGATGTTATTGAATCTGGCGTATTCCCCCGCCTTGTGGAACTTCTGATGTAAGTGCAATTTTTTATATATGTTTTCTCTGTAGCATTCTAAAGTTTTACCATGATCGATGATTGAAATCATAACAACTGAATTTTTATTTAGGCATCCTTCGGCCTCTGTACTCATTCCTGCTCTGCGCACGGTGGGTAACATTGTGACTGGGGATGACATGCAGACTCAGGTAAACTCAATTGGCAAGTTGGACCTCCTTTTTAATGTTTTTTTTTCCTACATTGATGTATATCCTGCTGTTGCTAAATTAATGCAAGTCATCTGTTAAAATCAGTCTACCCTTGTATTGATGTTCTTGATTCCGTGATGTAGCTGCAATACTGGCCTAGACTAGATTTGAAAGCTTCTTTTGTCCCGGGTAGCATTGTAGATGTTGCAGACACGATTAGTCATGGTGCCCATATGGGTCCATGCAGGTGTCAGACAGGGGGAAGTCGCATCAGCGTGTACTTTGTCATACTAGTTTGTTTAATTGGGGTTACAAGTTTGATTAAACAGTTTTATTTGCTAGATACATTATCTAGCAGTCAAATCAATATTTTCATGGAACAGAAACTTACACGCACGCACACACTGGGAACCATTATCTTTTTGGTTTGGCAAGAAATAACATGTATTATATTATTTCGTTCATATCTATATGTTAGTGTCTCTCCCTCTCTCTTCTTGTATCTATACTTCTGCCCTTTTCATTGCATCTCTCTATACACTTCATGATTCTGCCAGCCTAAGTTACCGGACTGGGTCTCCTGTAGAGATGCATCTACTTTTTAAAAAATTATCCATACTAAGTTGATGTTGAATCAATTGGCTGATTTGTTAATCTAAGGTTCTAGTTTCTTTGAAATTATTCTCTGTAGTTCAAATGCTAGTTTATAAGTACAAATGCGCTTTCGCAGCACTGTTTAGCAGGTCCTATTGGATGTAGGTCTTGATGACAGATTGTTAAGCTAAATTTTAAGACGGTCAATATAGTTGGTCATATTGATTTTCAGCCTTGATGACAAGAATTCCTTGCCAAATTCATTGAAATAAATATTCAAAATTAGCTTTCCACACTGTTGTACCATATTGACATTCCATATTCCACTTAACCTAAATATTTCTCCTTCCTGCAGTGTGTCATTGACAATCAAGCACTTCCATGCCTTTTGAACCTCCTGACTACCAACCACAAGAAAAGCATCAAGAAAGAAGCATGCTGGACGATCTCAAACATTACAGCTGGTAACAGGGAACAGATTCAGGTTTGTGTGCAAGTTCTGTTGATAAATCAAGTCTTTTGTAAGAATGTGCATATTTGAATTGAATTAGCTTATGGCATTTGAAGGGCGGGCCTGGTGCAAGCGGTAGAGTCTTACCGCCTGTGACCGGAAGGTCCCGGGTTCGAGTCGCGGTCTCCTCGCATTGCACATGCGAGGGTAAGGCTTGCCACTGATACCCTTCCTTAGACCCTGCATAGAGCGGGAGCTCTCTGCACTGGGTACGCCCTTTAGCTTATGGTATTTCTTTAAAAAGTTGATGTTTGACATGGAAATTATTTCAATATAAACAAACATTTTCTCCCATAGTCCCAGTAGCTTCAATGAAATCACCTGGTTGGTTTCTTATTCAACTGCTTCCTTCTGTTTGGTTTCTTTCCTAAACTAGTATCATATGGTTGCAGGCCGTGATCAATGCAAACATAATTGCACCTCTGGTGCAACTTCTGCAAACTGCTGAATTTGACATCAAGAAAGAAGCAGCGTGGGCAATTTCAAATGCCACTTCTGGTGGCACACATGATCAGATCAAGTATGTAAATATGTAGTTTTAACATTATCTTCTAAGTTTGTCATATTATTTGTAGTATAGTATGCTTCATTAAAAAAACATTTGTGATAACATTGTCTACTGTATGAAATGCAGGTACCTTGTTGCCCAGGGGTGCATTAAGCCACTCTGTGACCTGCTTGTCTGCCCAGATCCCAGAATTGTAACAGTTTGCTTGGAGGGTCTTGAGAACATCTTGAAGGTTGGCGAGGCAGAGAAAAACCTTGGTGGAGGCGATGTCAATGTCTACGCACAGATGATTGATGATGCTGAGGGCCTGGACAAGATTGAGAACCTGCAGAGCCATGACAACACCGAGATATATGAGAAGGCTGTCAAGATGCTCGAATCCTACTGGCTGGAGGAGGAAGACGATGCCATGCCCTCAGGCGACAATCACCAGAATGGCTTCAACTTTGGGAACCAGCCCTCTGTTCCATCAGGTGGATTCAACTTTGGCTGAAGGTATGCTCTCTCTAGCGGTCTTGAGTAAAAAAATGGGTGGTGTACGGTGTGTTTCGGTGTGAAAATTTCGATTTCTGATGTGATATTGTACATGCAGATGCCCATTTGGAATGGCGACTGTGCCATTATGCCTTGGCTAGTGCTTGGGGCTAGTCAGAGGTGGGGTAGTCGCGTCGTCCAAGTCGTGGTTGGGTCCCATTGGTCTGGTCTCAGGGAGTCGTCATGTCAGTCCCAGTCAGCAGCAGGGTCAGTCCTTGGGCTGCATCACCAGTGGTGCAGCTTGGTCAATGGTCAGTCTTCAAGGTCAGCGGGTTGGATCATTTGGGCTCTTGCTCCCACCACCACCTAATGGTGGGAGGCATGGAGTCGCAGGTGTTGTCGGGAGTTGGGTTTTGCCTCCTATATAGCATGAATGAATTATATTGTTTTACCTGTTTGATGAGGTAGAAAGAACCTTGAAAGATAGGGGATGTGTCGGTTTTTGTCAAAGCGTTTCCTGTGCTGTATAACATGTTGCAATGAGTATTGGCACAACTTATAAGACATAATGTCAAATGGGTTTTTGGGAGTCCCATTCTGGTCTCTTGAGTCTAATTCATTGGTTTATTGTGTACTATACACAGGTTTGTGGTTGGTCATGTCGTCTTGTCTGTTGTAGTCGTGTTTCCTTGGCTGTGTATTTGCCACCGTTGTCTGAAAGTTGTTCCATGCTTATCTAGAACAGTTGAAGGATATGTGACATTTTTACGAGGTTATTATTATATGGTTCCTAGTTTTATGGTGGAACCTGATTTACGTTGTATGACCTTGACAAACCATTGAGAATTGTGGTGTAGCAACTGAATGGAATGAAATCAAAGAATTTTTTCCGTGCATGTTGGCTCTGTTTCAGATATATCGTGCATGTTAAGTATTTATAAAAATTGTGCACTGGCCACTGGGTTTATCTCCTGTGCGATTCCGTGGAACATTTTCGGTGGGTCGATGCTTTTATGATTGACAAATGGCTGGCATTCGATGTTCTCCGCTGCCCTGCTGTACTTTGTTGAGGGCAAGTGATGATTGCGACTAATCTCTTTCCAGGCCTGGCTGGTTCGTATCGTTGCTGGTTTGTTTACGTGAGAGAGAAGTACTGCTGGCTGGTTCATGTAAATAGTATCCATGTGAGGGGGCTGGCCAGCCTCAGCCGATCGGGCTATGGCAGCCCATGGCCCCAATGATTGGCATACATGTGGGGCGCCATACGGTTGGGGCTGCGGATTGTTGCCGGTTTTTAGATGGTCCGGATCTAGTTTCTTAGTTTAGTATGATGTCATTTGCCGTAGTAGTCTCATCGCTGCAGCTACAATGATAAGGTGGGAGGCAATAGGCAACGGAAGCATGGCCCTTTTGTTTCCACCTTTCCTCTGCTGTCTCCATTGATTTGTTTCAGACCTGCTGCATTCTTCCTGTTTTTTCTAGAATACAGGAGATCCGAGTTTGTTCTAAATAATACTATAATGAATACTCCCTCTGTACTCAAATACAATGCATTCTGGCCATTTTTAGATAAAATAAGAGAGAGTGCAATAGACGCATATACCCCTCACTTGCCTTCATAATGTATTGAAATCTGATTCTTTTTCACATGACTAAAGGGAGAACTATTAGTCTCCTTATACAAAATATGGCAAGTACATGAATTACTTTCCTTATATGAAATAATCATGTATTTTATTTAAATTAACATTATCTTCTTGTTCCCTGAATGCACTATATTTGAGTACAAATTTTAAATGCCAGAATGCACCTTATTTTAGGACGGAGAGGGTATATAGAGAAGAATATTAACATCTATTCCTTCCATTAAAAATGTAATTCATGAAAACATATATCTGATAATAATGTATCTAACAATGCTAAATGAAACATCTATTCCCTCTTCATTCCGTTCTTCGCCCCTTCCCCCTCTCTTCGTTTCTGCTATGTTCTAAACTACAAGGGATCTGAATTTATTCTAAATGAAACTATACTAAATTTGACTAAATATATATTGAAGAATGTTAACATCTACCCTATTAATAAAATATGTAAATTATGAAAGCATATTTGTTAATGAACCCAACATGTCAAGTATTACTCTCTTTTTTCTATAAAAAAAAATTGGTCAAACCTAGCAAAGTTTGACTGATGATAAACTCAAATCCGTTATATTTTAGAACAGAGGGAATTACCATTTCTCATCTTTGTTGGTCTCATGCATACTGTCCTTTTTTTGGGTCTTATTATTAAAAAGTCAGCACCTTCTATATAGTATTATCAGTATGGCTAGTATTGTAGGATTACATACATCACCTCATAGAATCTAGCTAGAGCAACAAACAGTTTGTGAATTGTGCAAAGAGAGACAACTGTGGATTCTGTTCCTAAAGCATGGATCAATTGCTTGCAGTTGAAAATAGCAATGACTGCAGTTTTTTTTTTTTTTTTTTTTGGTGACAAAATGACTCTGCAGTTGACGACACTTCTTTAAACTACTTGGCAGCATCTTTCTTCTCTCTTTTTCTGAGGTGTGGTGTAAAGAATCTGTCCCCTTTTTTTTCAGCTGTCCCTGTGTCACAAAGCTGCTCTCATCAGTCATCATATAGAGTACATGATACATCCGTCCTGGATAGGATGGCCCCCTGTTTCGCGCTAATCCTCTCCCTCTCTTTGAGATCCCTGTTCGAGTGCTTGACACCGTACCTTTCCCTCTTTTTCTTCCAGCACGTACGTTCGGTTCTTCTCATGCGTGCGTGCATTCTTGCCGCTGCCCGAGAATTTCTTATTTGACACTGGTAAAATGAATCGTTTCTTTTTTTTCTGAAATTTTTTTCGTTCCCTATTTGATATTCATTTTAACTTTCATCTATAATTTGACACTACCGTCAAATCCGTTAGCTAACGGTGTTAAATGATTGTTAAAAATACGTTTTTGCTCCTAGAAAAAAAGCGGCGAAGCAAATTTGAGAGGAAAAAAAAACATGCGCCTTTTTTTGCAGATGGGCGCATGCACCAGAGGAGGGTGCAGGTTTTTTTTTCCTCTCAATTTTGCTTCGCCGCTTTCTTTCTAGGAGCAAAAACGTCTTTTTAACAGTCAGTTAACACCGTTAGCTAACGGCGGTAGTGTCAAATTAGGGATGAAAGTTGAAGTAAGTATCAAATAGGAAACGAAGAAAATTTCAGAGCCAAAAAAAAGGAATGACTCATTTTTCCAATGTCAAATAATTCTCTCATCCTTAATCTCTGCTCCGGCCGGCCAGTTTTGAGGTGTCTGGTCGTCTATTAACGCTGCTACTTTCGTGCTGTGTGTGGGTGTCAGCCGGCCTGGACGGTTTCCTTTAATTAATTAATTAATTAATTAATTTTGCCATTGTTTAAGCGTCCGCAGAGCAATGGTTTGGAATTTTTGCCGGTTTCCGGCTTACTCTGCATTCCGTGGAAGCATGCACTGCATCCACGCATTTTTTTTTCTCTCTCTCTCTCTCTCTTCTTCTCGTTGACAAATGACAATCGTCTACTGGATGCCCTGTGTGTGCTCTGAAACTTGTGCAGCGTCAGCCAAGCAAAGCGAGTTGAGTTGTTCACATTTATATTAACCAGCTACAAAATAAGTTATTCTTTAGCCACCTCCATTTACGATAATTTTATATATTAATTTACGATAATGTCAATACATATTTACGATGGTTGGGTTACTATAACACATGGAGATATTTACCGTAACATTATAGTAAACCACTTAGTAAGGAGTTACTATAATCTCGTAAATTAACATAGTAATTATCGTAGCTGCCTAAGATTACTCTCTACAATGTGTGCGGTGTGTGGGCCTCGCTTCGGCACGTGTATCGTGTTGGAACTGAATATATAGCACACCGGGGCAAACCAGACGTAATTTTGTGTAACAGTCATGGGACCTGTTTAGTTAAAAAAAGAACTTTTGCATCTAAAATTAGCAGGTACATATCCAAACAAGTCTGCTAAATAGACCTGCTAACTGTTAGCAAATAGAGGTCGTAACATTTAGTTCATTAGTTAATGGGAGGAGCGCTAATAGTATGCACACCTTGGACCGACGACCTAACCACCTATTAGCAGAGGCATTTAAACATCTATTGATAATTAGCTAGCTTAACAATTGGTGACTATCTATTAGCAACAGTGGATCAAACATAATATTTAAACATTGAGTTTTGTTCCGGTGGTCCTTTTTGAAAATATTGCACGGCTCTTAAAGCAGTCTGGAAATTAATTTTGGTGTGGATTAGTCTAGGCCCGGGCTACCCATATCCAAACCAAGCCCAGTCTCAAGCCTGATACCTGCATGTCGATGCTGGCGTGGATCGCCGTCATCTTACAGGGAGATGTGCATCTATGCGGTAGGTGCTGAACTGCTGATTCCCGGTGCAGGTGGCGTCGAGAGCCGCCACGCCCTTCTCTATTTTTTTTTCTGCTTGGCGAAGGTGTCTGGGATGCCGCAGCAACGGCTGAGGTAGGCTCGGTCTTGCCGCTGATGGCGCCGGTCCGGGATGCGGCGGCAGAGGAAGCGGCACGGCGTGTCGCCGCCGGCACCGTCCATCCACGGTGGGAGGGAAACGCGACTGAATAAAGCATCACAAATACGAGCCCGGGCTAGGGTTGGGCTTAGATTGGACATGGGTAGGGCAAGGCTCAGATCAGACCCATAATAAATTAATTATTAATTAATTGCAGCTGCTTTAAGATTCGTGTAAAATTCATAGAGAGGAGTACCAGCGCAAAACTCTTAAACATTGAGTTTACCTATGGGTTGAGAAAAAGATATTACTCCAACAGTGATGACAGATAAAACATTTGCAACATATGTGTGAAGCATATGCAACATCCAAATAAACACTTTTGCAACATACGTCTAAAAAATGAAATATTGGAAACAACGTTTGCAACGTACGTATATAACTATTGTAACATATGCAACATTCTGATGTACTTTTACAACGTCCCTATAAAACACTTACAACATACCTCTGAAACATCTATAACACTTGAAACAAACGCTTGTAAATGCTGCTTACGAAATGGAGGCTCGTCTACGTGTTGAGTTCACCGGAGGCAGCCCGGGGGCTGTAGATATACAAGAAAATATTAATATTTATATTTCATAATTAGTATCATTAGATAGATCATCAAATATATTTTTATAATAAATTTATTTAGAAATATAAATATTGTTAATATTTTCTATAAATCTAGTTAAATTTGATAAAATTTGACTAGCACAAGTGACACATTTTTTTGTTGACCGAGGGAGCAGTGGATAAGTGTTGGGGACCGCAAGATGAGACGAGTAGGAGTCTCGACTCTCGAGCCTAGGCCCTAGGATCACCTGCCCGCAGCGAGCGTGGGGCCCACAGCGCAGCCCTATCTCTCTCTCCATCTCCGCCCCTTATTTACGTCGTTGTGGCGTGGCTTGCTTCCACACTCCTGCAGCTGCCGCTCGACTCGTCTCGTCCCTCGTCTGTCGTCTCCGTCCACCGTCATCTTCCATTTTCCCCAACCCTCCACTGCTCCACGCCCCTCTGGCCCTCTCTCTCTCTCTCTCTCTCCGCATCCACACAGCTCACGTACTCTCCAAGAAACAGAGCGATCGAGGCCAGAGCGCACGGAGGCCGTCTCGACGAGATCGACCCACCCAGCAGCAGGATCGATCGGTCAGAGACGATGATGGATTCCGCCGAGCATCACAAGGTTTGTGTTGTGCCCCTCCTCTCGTCCGTCCTGATCAACAACAGCTCTTATCCTCTCCTATATATTTTTTTTTTTGGAAATAACTTATCCTCTCCTATCCTCTGTTTCTTTTACACGTATATGCCAATTACTTTTGGTTGATGATGATATCCTTTGATGGTTGGTCTCTCGCTCCTTCAGGTGATCGCGATCGCACCGGCGCCGGCGGCGGAGGCGGGGAGGCCGTGCTGCGTCGAGTGCCGCACCACCGCGACGCCCATGTGGCGCGGCGGGCCGACGGGACCCAGGGTAAGCTAGCGCTGCTCTCTCTGTTCCTTGTTGTGCTGCCTGGAGGCGATCGGAGCTCTCGATCACAGCATGCCATGATCAGAGGCAGAGCAGCTGATCGCCGCCGATCACCTCTTCTTGGTGTGGATTATTGCACAGTGATTAAATGGGGGATGATCACATCACATCACATAGCAAGTTGATGATCTAGCTAGGTAGTAACTTGGATTAGGAGACTGGCGAGATGATGATGATATGGTGAATGATTATTCCTTCCAATCATGGCTCCATCGATTAGCCTAGCCACCGCCGCCCTCGCATGAGAAAAGGGCTCAGAATCTCTAGCCGCCGCTTTGATTGATTCCGCTCCGTCCGCTTGGGTGGTTGGGTGAGCTGTTCCAAGCAAAGCAACGGTGCTAACCTCCCACCCCGGCCAATCCACCTAGCTAGTGTGTGAACGCTTAAAAAATGGGGGAAGCCAATGCAAGCTAGCTTCCCTGATACCGTCCTACTAGAGTACTTGTTCCTAATCTCATTTATTTATTTATGAATTGCTCCAGCCTATCGTTTAGCTAGAGGCATCCATACATATCTCCATCACAGTTGTTTGTTCCTATCCAGTACCAGCATCAAGCCATCAACAGAGCAAGCAATCAGCAGAAACCAATTTAGAAAAGGTCAGGAGTAGTACTAGACTACTAGCTAGTGATCGCGGATATATATATCGTCATACTATTATATGAAATGATCTTTATGCTAGTTAACGTTTCTGATGAGCATTAAGCAATCTTCTTAATTTGATTTGGTTGTAGTCCCTTTGCAACGCGTGCGGGATCCGGTACAGGAAGAAGCGGAGGCAAGAGCTAGGCCTTGAGACCACCAAGAAACCACAACAAAACCAGCAACAAAACCAGCCGCAGCCGCAGCAGCAACGACAACATCAAGATCACAGTCACAGTCACAGTCCAGCAACAAGCAGTGCAGTCGTCAAAGACAACAACAAAAGCAGCAGCCTCCAAGTGGTGAAGAAACGGAGGGTCCTGATGGGAGTGGAGGAGGCCGCAATCCTGCTCATGGCCTTGTCCTCCTCATCCAGATCCACGCTGCTACATGGCTAGGAGGATCTCAGCACCACCCAACCCAACCCACACAGGTTGCTGCTGCTCTGCTCAATGTGTGTGTGTACATATACAGGACACAGAAGAAACACAAACAGACCACCCAGTGGTTCCAAGCCAACCATGTAACTTTCTTGGATTATCAGGAAGGATGGCCTCTTTCCAGGATGGATGAAGCTGATGTCGAAGGGCTGGATTTGTTTTTTGGATTCACCCACCTCTTGTGCTGCTGCTGCAGATCTAATGATCTCGCTGTGTTGTGTCGTGTCATGTTCGAACCCGAAAGTGATGAAGTTGACTTGGGAAGGCAGGTTTGCCCTACATGGTAAGATGGATGGTGGTCCTTGTCCGTGTTGTTGTTGTTGATAGGCTCCCGTAATTGTGATTAGCAATGTATAAGAGGCCTTTTTGCCTCACTCTCATGTCTCTCTCCATTATTTTTTCCCTTCCACAATTTTTCTTCTTTCATTGCCACTGTATGTGTTTTATCCCCACCTTGATTAATTCCTGTGCATGTTCTTTGTTACTCCTTGATTGAGGATGGTGATCAAAAGCAGGCATCGCCCTTCATGTGTAATAAAAGATCAAAGTGGATATAATGATCTATGCGTCCCATTTCAGATGCAAAAGTTGTTTTTTTTTCACCTTTGTTTTTATGTGGCAAACATAGCTGCCGCAGCCGCTTTTTCTGCGCTCACAGTAGAAAAAGTGGCTGCAGCCGCAGCCGAACACTTCTGTCACACCAACAGAAAAAAGGAAAGTTCTGGCATCTTAAATAAGCAACCAAATTAGAAAAATAAAATCGGAATATTCAAACCACCGCAGAAGCAATATAAATGGTATACAGCAGATTGATGATAGGACTATCATCAGGTACAAGCAAAACAACCATGTCAAATTATACCCAAGTATCTGTCATGCTAAATCTGATACCTTCGTAATTGATTAGACATGTTCAGATATATACAGAAATTCAACAAAAAAACAGCAATTCACTGTGCCGCTTTATTCGGATCCTAGTGCAACTGATGTTGGTTCAGACTATTGACGCCTCTGATATCTATGATAGCCTGTCTCCTGCATACATCAGGATCGGTGCTGGCGGCTAATCGCCGTAAAATGCTCAGGCCATTCCTGGTCTCTCAAAAAGCAAACATATGGATAACCTTTTTGGGATGTAGAAATACAGGGAAACATCGTACGTGCGAAGTTGCTATAACATTTGAAGAGGCTGTGTTGACCCTCAAAAACCTGTAAGGACTCTCACTCCATCTATCCAGCCAGTTCAGCTTCCTCATCACCATCAAACTCCTGCTCTACTCCTTTCACCTGTTATAAAAGTAGTATGACAAATTAGCATACTTGAAGACTTGAGAATTGCCAATGAGAATAGAACAGATGCATCAATGGATAATTAAGGAAAACCCATCATAAGGAACAATTGCAATATGAACTGATTTCCTGCATGTGACCAAATGACAACCATTCTAGTTATCAAATAGAGAACATATTTTGAGCCACAGGCATTAAGGAACAGCAGCAAGACACAGAATAAAGTCACTTCACATTCTAGCTATCAAATAGAGAACATTTTTTTGAGCCACAAGCATTAGGGAACATCAGCAAAGAACATAATCACTTCACATTCTAGTTATCAAATAGAGAACATTTTTTTGAGCCACAGGCATTAGGGAACATCAGCAAAGAACAGAATAAACCACTTCACATCACCTCAGGAACATAGTGCATAAGCATGTTTTCTATCCCAGACTTCAATGTCACTGATGAACTTGGACAGCCGCTGCAGGCACCTTGCATTTTAAGCTTAACTATCCCGTTTTCTCTGAAAGGATAGTGTTCCAGTGAGAGAAAGAAACCAAATTATTAATAGCAGACCACATGTGAGGGAGGAGGGAAAGACTCACGGATCGAATCCTCGGTATTCAATGTCACCACCATCATCTTGAACAGCTGGTGAATCTGAGTCTCCAACAATTCTTTTATCATGGCAACTATTTCTGAATCATCCTAGGAGGAAACAGTGCAAGAAAGATTCAGTATCACAAGGCAAATAATAGCCAACATAACATATACTGATTTTGAAATGTATGTTGTCAGTGCTAGGTAACATCATGGACTCTTAGTATAATAAGAGGATTCAGGGTCTAACATATTTTTTTGATAACCTAGGTACCAGTATAGCTCTATTATAGATTACTAGAATTAGATTGAGGCAATGTAGTGCAAAGAGTCCATAGTATCACTCTATATCTCATCATAACAGGTCACATCTTCATATGAGTTGATGATCATTGCAATCCTATTATTTCTACCAACTGGTGCACATACAGGACTGAATCAACACATTCAAGAAGCATTTAAGCAATTCCTACAAAAAAAATCATATAATAGTCACAATTCCATTTTACACCTACCTATAGGTGACAGGCAGACATACAGGATTTAATCCACACATTCAAAATGAAGCAAATTTAAGCAACTTCAATCATGGCACAAATGGAGTTCCATTTTATTGCACTCCTAATCTATATTTTTTTCCATGTATGGATCGTACATACTTTCGCAGATATTTACTATTGAATATGGCATGTGTGGGCATCCCTATCATATGTTGCCTAGACCCAGTACAGTACTGTACAGTTTACATGCTGCCTCAATAGACAACCCATTTTCCCATTTGCAATGTTATTAGAAGTTGGAACATCCAAGAAACTATACCTATAGGTTTTCTCTGTTACAATATAAAACATATGGTCTTCAGGGTCTTGTGATCATAAAATGCCAGAGTAAACAGGGAAGTTTAGAAAAGCAAATGGGCGTACCCAGTGCAGAGAGCTCCCGCTCTGTGCGGGGTCTGGGGAAGGGTGTTAGTGTCAAGCCTTACCCTCGCCTGTGCAATGCGAGGAGACCGCGACTCAAACCCGGGGCCTTCCGGTCACAGGCGGTAAGACTCTACCGCTTGCACCAGGCCGCCCTTCGAAGTTCAGAAAAGCAAGACAAGGAAAAAAAATGCAGGATGGATAGTTTACAGAAACTAGTTGCAATACCTCATGAATCGCTGTGTCCATAGAAGCTGCAGCATTTGAGTCCAGAAAAAGTGGTTGTCCAGATGAGTAAAAATCCATTATCGCAGCAAAAACCTCAGGCTTGAGGTAATCCCAAGAAGCTTCTTCTGATTTTGTAACAGTTACAAAATCAGATCCAAAGAATACCCTGGTTACTCCTGCATAGAGATTCCAATGTTGTGTCAAAAGAGTTAACACTTCAGTAAAAGACTATGACACTTAATGCAAGAAAACCCAATGTAACCAGCAGCTAAATATGTCTTCCAAAATTGTGCTCTTTCTTATATCATGTTCAACACTACTTTATACTTCACCCATGCCAATGCTGCCGTGAATACTGGTCTTTTATCCCACTTCACTTCACTAAATTTCTCTATGGAATCTATTGAGTAACATAATGGTAACTTTAGCATCTCTTCTTCAGCTATGACGACAAAGTTTTTTGTTGGAGCTAAACTAATTGTCCGCAGCTAATGATACAACAAAACAAACTGAGAAGGAAAATTAGTCAAGTGACCAAAAATAGAGAAAACCCTATTGTTTAGCATCAGAAAATGTTATTGGCACCAAGCTATGGAAGTTTAAACATCTCATTCCTATAACCCGACCATTCTTTCGAGAACTGGCACATGTCAAGTTGTCAACAATAGGACGCTTACGAGTAACTAACGGAATATAAAGCTTGTAGAACTACAAGAGCAAAGGCGCAAATGGAAATGAAAATGAATGCAAAAGGCAACAAGGGAAGAGGCATAAATGTACCATCAATGGCAAACAGCGCCTTAGCCAAAGGGGATGTCATCGCAGTGCGAGCATTAGGGAAATCAGAGCTCCCAACCTTCATAACTGGCTTTCCAGGATAGAACATGAGTGACTGCGGGTTCGGGGTCGACTGCGTCTGGATGAACATGGTCCTCTTCTGCCCTCCTGCACATGGCACAATTTTCATTTCTCCCAAACAAAGAACCTTAAGCACACGACCGAGTACCAGCTGTGAAGGATCCATCATGAGAGAACAAGGTCACCAACAAATCAAAGTCTGCTACAGCTCAACAATTTGGCACAGCTAATGCGCACGAACAATCATACAAAAGTTCTGACTGCTACCTCAATCTAATGAAATGGGTATCTCTTACCACCACAATGGCCACAACAGCGATCAGATGAAGAATCCCACCGTAGCCTAAACTAATTCGCTAATCCAACCTTGCGAGCCGTAAAAACCACGCCTTTACGCTAAACCAAGACGGACGGAGTGGGAGAGCAAACCCTAACCTCCGAATCGATCCCATGGGTAGGAGGCGGGGTTCCGGGCAGCCGGCCGCGCGAAAGGCGGCGACTTCAGGCGGTCGAGGGGGCCGGATGCCGCTGAGGAGAGGAACCGGGGCGGGGGTCGCCGCCACGGCTGCGTTGCCTGAGGCCTCCCATGGAGCCGGAGCGCGAGCGCGAGAAGCCTTCTCCTCGCCATGGCCGCAGCTAGTCTCCTCGACGCGTCCTTGCGACGTTGTGCTCTTCTGCTTCTCTTCTCCTTCCTAGGTCGGCTGGTCTAATGGGCCTGAAGCCTGGTCACTCATGGGCCGGAATAGAGATTTGCAGCCCAGAAGCAGGCACCAGCGGGCGAGGACCCTTTAGCGTGGGTTCTGGGCGGTTTAGTGGGTGTTTGGGACTGCTCCACAAACTCTGCTCCACAAACTCCACCGTGGAGCAGCTCCACAAAAAACTGGAGTTTGTGGAGTACCTCTTTAGGTGCTCTCACAACTCCACCCTTTTTCCTGGAGCAGAGTGCGTGGAGCTGAAACCGTTTGACTAAAAAACGTGGAGCGGAGCTGAAAAACGTGGAGCGGAGCAGTCCCAAACACGCTCTTAGATAAAAAAAAACTCCAGCCTACTATGGGAACGTGTAATTTTTAAAATAATATTTTTTTCTAAAGTTAACCGATAAATTGAATATCTCTCTTTTTTTTATGGGGAATCACCTGATATATTCCAGAGAATCTGGGGGACGACTCTATCCCAACAAAAGAGCAGGACTAGCTTGACCCATGTTGATGTCATGCTTTCCGTTTCTTCCTCGCTCTACTCCCTCTCCTCCAAGGTGACCGGGTCGGGCGCAGGGGAGAAGATGCGGGGGCGGAGGGAGAGGGGCATCTGTTAATATATCCATGTGTGACATCTCTACCACATGTGCAGAATTTCTGGACATAACACTTTTCGTTTTGTAATTTAACTGGGATGAAGGTTGTATAATGGTTTTTGAAAAAACAGTGAACCAATAAGATTAGGTTCTTTTGTCATTTAATTTCACATTATTATTCATTGTTTATCTGAAATTTCCCCTCAATTCCGCCGCTACTATCTTTGCTATCATTGCAGATGCTACATATAAATTCTCAAACTCCATGAATCCACTTCCTCGTATAATGCTACAAACTCCAACAGGAATGCATGGGTATCATAAAGTGAATATAGTGTTTACATAATTTCTACGTAATTTATGGTGAAAAATAAGGCTTGCATACCATTCAATGTTTTCAGTCTTAGCTTGTCACCTGCTCTGCAGATTATAGGGGGGAAATAAAAATACTATTATCAACAATATTTTATATATTATACATAGAGTTAAATATACACTAGAGACTTATAAACTTGTCATGATGTGTCATTTAAGTCCATAAACTCTAAGAGCGTATTTATAGGTTATTAAATCTGTCTAATGGCACTGTGGGTCCATATTAACATCCGACAGCCTCTAATGTTTACTTCTTCTGTCTTAAAATATAAGGTACCTAAGCATTCAAAATTTGTCCTAAATTATAAGAAATTATAGGCGAACTTACCCTCCGTCTCACTTTAAAAAGGCAACATTCACATGCATATAGCTGTCATTAGTTTCTTTTACTAACTCAAATGTGGCAAATAAGTTTGCCACATAATGTCTTCGAAATCATAGGATACTTATATTCTAGGATGAGGGAGTATTTTGAAAAGAGAAAATAACTAGATTTTTTACACTACTATTGTCAAAAAAAGAAAAAAATGGAACTTTGCATTCTTGGTTAATATGTATAAAGTTTGACCAAATATCTCCTACAACTAAAAAGAACAAAGCGTGGACACTTTTTGGTGCGACATTCCAACGTGGGCCTATAGTCCTGCCTGCTGCGTTCCCGCAGCCCTCGCTCCTACACCCATCCCTTGCAACAAAATTATTTCTTCCAAATTAGTCATGCACAATTATAGCAATACAATTTGCTAAATGATGACTATATATACGAATGATTGATTATAGACCGATCTTCATTCTTTTTTTTGGAAGGAAGAAAGAATATCAAGGATTACGTGAAACATAGCAACCAGACCACCTTCCATGCACGGCGCCACAATGGTGCATGCAAACAGGAATCGTACATGTGCAATCAAGAAGGAAGCCATGCAACCAATCAAGAAGGAAACTGCCATCATCAATGGTTCATGCAAACAGGAATCGTGCATGTGTAATATCAAGAAGGAAACTGCCATCATCAAAGACCACACCAACCACAAGTGGCACGTTAGCATGACTCATCAATCTCTTCTCTCATCACGTCTAAAAAGACTAAAAAATGGACATCGTTTTGGTGCGACAATCCAACGTTAGGTCGTTGGTCTGCCTGCATGTGATCCCATGCTCGTTATCCCACCGGCGTCGTCGCCCCCCACAATGGCCCACACGGCGCTTCTTCCCTAAAAATGCCACTCCACGCGAGAATCACGTGATCACGTCTCATCATATGCCACTAATAGACGGAAACCTACGGCCAAATGGTGTCCACCAGTCGTAAGCGCTTGTGAAAAAAATCTCAAATTGCCTGGCCGAATAGGAAGGAGGGGAAACGGACGTCCATCTGGGCGTAATTAACGCTCGTGAAAAAAAATCTAACGTCTCCGGTCGGCCAAATAGAAAGGAAAGAAACGGACGTCCATCCGGCGTAATTAAGACTTGAGAAAAAATACGTCACTTCTCTTTCCTAAAATCACATTACATGCAAGCCTAGATTTTCATATTCTCTCCTCCTTTTCTCTTTCCTTGTAGCGACAACCGCACAGAAGAGAGGCAGATGAGATCAGACGCCATATCCATCTTCCCCACCCCACCACGAACCATCGTCGCTCGGGACATCATCGATCATCGTAGTGGATCGATCATCGCGCAAGCCTCCATTCAGCTCGTCCTGCCTGTGGAAGAAAGGAAAGGAACAACGTCCAGCGACCAACCGGACAGCTAGCGTGCGTCTCCGCCAGGCCCTCCCATCGGCTCGCCGTCGTCAAAGGATCAGTACGTATCTGCCAGCGTCTTCCACCGCTGTTGCCCTCTTGGTAGGGCAAAGTCCACCATCTCGTCGGTTTGATGGTTTAATCGCCGCGCACCCATCGATCTCGGTAGTACTAGGCGTAACCACGCATAACCCCGCCTACCGCATCATCACCCAGGTATATATGTCTCCAAAACTTCCGTGGCCAATCGTCACTTGGTTAGTATTCAGGTTGCTTCCCCAGCTTTCAAGTGCAATTCCTGTTTGGACGCCTATAGTATTCCAGTTGCTTCTCCCGCTTTCAATTTTTTTGTGGCCTCCATTTAGGTTATATGTCATCCAACTAAATAAGCCAGTTAGGAGCAAGTACCGCAATACAAATTTATAATTTTGTTTATGATAATTAATGTTACTTTAGCTTTAAACAATAATTGTTTATATGCAGGGCCATACTTTCATAAACAGGATAGCTGCTGGTGACATATTAAGATCGAGTTTTGTCCTAGCAGTTTGCAATAAGATTATTTTGATTTCTTCAAAAAATAAGATTATTTCAATTTTATGCTAAAACTTAAATTATATTTTAATTGTTCACGCATCATGAAGACGGATTTAAAAAAACAAACGTTCTGAACATCCCTTAAATTACATTTTAATTGTTCATGCATCATACTTATGTCGACCCTGTGCATGCTGGAGCTTTGGCCAGCAGATTGCAGGGCAGTAGCTATAGGAATTAATATGCTCTATTTAATTATTCTTTGTAATATTATTTGCTTGATCATAAGGCATAAGAGCGGGAGAGCATAGCAGTTCTGTTTTAGTTCAGAGAGTTGAGTCATCTTGCGCAACGTAAAGCACAGTGCAATTTATTCATGATTCAAATTCAGTGTTTTTGGAGCTTCCTAGAATTTTCGTTCTGATCCACGTATAGTTTTCGTGTTGCAGAGGTTGTACTACTGGGAGCAAGAATGCCGCAGTAGCTGGTATTGTTGTGGCGGTTTCCACGGTGTGTAACTGTTTTAATGTTATTAGTAGTATATATTTAGTTTATGTGGACTTCCTAACAATAAATTAATGAACATGCTTAAGAGAGGTATATCATCATTTCGTTTTCTTTTGGGGAAATATATGCATCATTTTGGTATTGAGATCAAGCGGTGGTGATCCAGCCCGAATAATGGCGCTAGGCGGCATGGTATAAACTTCGTGGCTTTTCGCGTCCGCCCGGTAACGCAGCACTCGCGCATCCTCCTCTCCGGCATCGTCTCCCTCCCTCCATCGCCGCAACCGCTGGGACACGCAAAAGTGTGATCTTAACATCGGATTCGGCTCCCCTCGGTCCATTGGTCCCCAAAGGCATCGTCTTTGCTCTGATATGTGGTTTTGTGTGGTCATGGGTTGCTTGTGATCTCTCTTCTAGGGGCGGTTTTCGGCGATTACATCGACTTAATGTTATGGGTCGGAAGTGGGTCGCTAGGCTGTAGTTCTTGCCGCCGTGGAACACCAAATCTGGAGCCTAGAGGAGAGTGGAGGCCTCCGCGCCTCGTCGATGTCCGGTCAAGGCTATCCATGCAGAATGAGCTGTACTTTGATCAGCTTCATAGCAAGTGGTGATTTTGAGTAGTTAATACCTTCTTGCCAGATATATTTTAATCTACCTAGGTAGTGGGGAAATAACAAAGGACACAGGAATACCTCCATATTTTAAGTTTTCCTTTTGCATAATACTATATAAAACTTGACTGTGAACAGGGGCCATGGCAGCTTAGGATGTCGTCTGCAGGGATCATCTCCTATTCGAGAGTCACTGAAAAATGTTCAAGTTACAAAAAAATTAGAAAGAGATGCTCCTTGTTTGGCTACACTGTCTATCCTTTCTTCTATATACAACACCGAATTCTAAAATCTGAATTGCATTGAAATTTTGTTTGCCTCCTGTAACTACTTTTGTTCTGGAAAGGGTGAGTAGCTTTGTAACAATTTCATGATATGTGACTTCTTAAGTATGATAATTTTATTATAGTATGTTAGAATTATAGTATGTTCGTTACAAGTCTTTTATATTGAATTAAATAATTGCCTACGTCTCATTGAGTTACTAATGGAACAATGTTTCAAAGCGGCAAAGGCATACTAAACTGGATCATAATTCAATACTAGGGGCATATGGTTG